AGTTGTCTTTTTTAAAATAGCTATCATCTTAGCCTGCATGTCTCCCAGTTGGCCAGTTGCTTATGAGGGAGAGGGGAAACTTTGACTTTCCTTGTCTCCATGCTCATGTGCTGGCAGCTCACAGGAAAGGACACGCTTCTTGTTCTCACCACATCCCATGGCTGGCCTATACTTTCTTAGTGCTGGGATTTGCAGTCAAAGCAAGTGTGGAGAGATTGTCATTGATATAAAGATTCCTTTAGTTAGAACACGTTTTCCAGTGATATGTTCATGGCTTTCCTTGTCTAGGGACATTTTTCATCCCTATAAGCTTTTCATTTTAACTAGGCTGGACCCTGTCACAGGACATAGTTGTTATTGCAGTAACCCAGTTCTTCCACACAGCTCCCTCTTCACTGGTGTCACTGTGTGGTTTCAACTGGCCCTGTAGTTTCCTCCTGTGCAGATAATTGCCAGTCTACAGACTTGGGTACTGCTGTTCCCTTCTGACACGTGTCCTGGTTTCAAGCTCCAGGTGTACCCTCTGCAGACTTTCGTGGATGCTACTGTCATGATCAATTTTGAGAGTACATAACCTGTACTTCTCCGTGCCTTCCCTTTACTGGTCTTCTTGGTAACCTATTGTTTTGTCTGACAGCCACTATTCCCAGGTTCTGATCTGTTTCAGCTTCCCCATAGAAACCACAAGTTACTTTTCTCTCTCCTGGATCCCAGGAGGAAATTGTCACAGAGTTCTTTTCTCATTTTGTTGCAGAACTGAAACTCATTTTCTTTGGCCCTTCCCCATGGGTTGCCCCTCCCTCCTGACAATTGTCAGTGAGGTCCTCTATGTTCCATGCATTGTTCTCTCATTATATGTGGGAGAAATAGGTGATTTACTATTGTTACCGCATTGTTATTTTAAAAATTGTGTGTTTGGGGACAGCTTCTTGCAGTGTCTTGCTATTCACTGGCTCTGGGGATGGGAAAGCAGTTTTAGTTTGCTCCGCCTTCAGTTTCTTTGAGTCCCTGGGTTGGAGCTGTCTAACTTTGGCGCAGTCAATGAGGAGGACCATTTGGCTGTAGGTTTATTTAATAATCAAGACTGCCTGTGAAGGGCCACTTTCCTCCTGCCCTCAGATCTGCCCTTTGTTAGTATGGCTTGAGTGCCAGGTTTGCAGTGAGGGGGAGGAGTACAGTATTCCAGCTATGAACCTTGAAGCTGTTTCCCCTCTCCCACCCTCAGAACTCCGGATTTTAGTCTGGCTGTATTATTACTGTTATTAGGAAGAATCTTCTCTCTTTTGGTATCTTCTTACCATCAGATCTGGGAAAGAAACACTGATTCGTGGCTATGAAATTTTATCCCTCTCTGGTTTCGGCTTCTCTGAATCCCTCACGTGGAGTCTGTGACACCCCACTGGGGAGGACCACTTGACTCTGCGCCACAGCACGGCTGAGAGGTTAGCTGCTCTTTCCCCCAGCCTTGTCCCAAGATTCCTTGGGCAGGAGGGTCTGGGCTGGGAGGTTGTGGTACCCTGCCCTACACAGACCTGTTTCACTCTCTAATTTCTGGATTTTAACCCAGCTGGATTGTCTTTCTGTTAATTGTGCTGGGTCAGATTTTATCTTTCACCTTTTCCTCAGCGTTACCGCTTCTCCTCAGCACTAAGAGGTACTCATGGTGGCCAGTACCCCCTGGAGCCTCCTCTTTTCTACCATGCAATTATTTCTATCTGAAGTATTTCTTCATGTACTAAGCAGAACATATTCTAATCACTGAGTCAAAATGGAATTTAATTTAAAGTATCAGACTGTTGCCTAAGGGTGAATGAGAAAGTCACAGGATCTGCCTGACTTTCCATTTAGAGATTGAAACTTACCCCCTCACATGGTACTGTCACATTCCTTTCTTCCAATACTCTAAAACCTATATGTAAATAATGTTGGCTTTGTAGACTTTATGGTGTCTGACACAAAAGTTTGACTTTTATCATTGTAGTTCTGAAGGAGCTGTAGTTAATATGCAATGCGATGAAGGCTGTATTTCAACAAAACTGTTCATAGGTACTGAAATCTAAATTTGATACAGTTTTATATCATAAAATAGTACTACAAACTTTTTCCAACTGTTAGTGTAGAACCATTCTTTGTTTGCCATTATAGAAAAACAAGCAGGGTCAGATTTTCCTATTGCTGTGTTTGTCAACCTGCTCTACTCCAACCCCATAGGTTTACAGAGAAGCAAGCTTAGATCTCAGCATCCAGCCAGGAAATTAAATGCCTCTCCTTTCTTCTTGCAGTTAGACCCAAACCTTTAAGCAATTTCCTAGGGAACGTCTCCTCCACTAACAGCAAAGAAAGAAATCAGTTCTTGCATCTCCTCGCCTCCTACAGAAAAGAGGAGCTATGTTTGCTAAGAAGTGTACACTTTTCTCTTCTATTCCAAGTATGTTCCAGGACTTCTGTTACATACTATGAGAGTAAAGGCTTCCAAAACACATGAATACTTTCAACCTTCAAACCAGATTTGTTTGATTAAGGCCTAAAGAATTTAGCAATTCCTGTACAGTTAGTGAACTTCAGGAATACGTCCTTTTATTGCTTATAATTTTAAATTCCAAAACATAGTCCTTTCTTCAGTTTTTCTTTCCAGACAAGGTCCTCAATTGAACTTTAACTTATTGATCAGCTTAAGTAAAATAAAACATCATCATATTAATTCTTGCTTTTAAGAGCCATAAAAACCAGGAAAGGAGCCATTTGACATCTGAATGATTAGTGTCCTTCTCAGATATTGCCTGCAATCTTTATTAACACAAACATAAGCAAGGCAACTGCAGTGTCAAAGCTGTCCTGGAACAGCATCAGGCTGTACCTAAAAAACCTTCTCTGCAAAATAGTGAAATCCAGATTTAGACCAGGGATCACATTGTTCATCAAAACTGTAACTTTACAAACTTTAGCAGTCAAGGGTCAGCATCAGTCAGGATGATTGTTTCCTACAATTTCCATAAACCAATGACTTCACAATAGACCCAAGGGTAGAGAACATTCAACACAGTAAAACTGGACATGATCTTATTTGAATGTAAGTGCAAGACAAGTTTCACCTCCCGTCTCTTGTTCCTACAGCTCACAGACACTGGTTAACACCTTGTGGCAACAAAACCTTTACAGTAGATTCTTAAATGTGTATTTCTGGTGGTCTCTGACAATCCATTCTATATATACATGCACACACATATGCATAAACTCTATTGTTATAAGTGTGATTTTGAATGTTTAGTTAGAAACAGATCCACATTTATCACCTAAAAGCAAAAATCTTTCCTATTTTGTACCCCAAATTTTGCTGAAAGATATGTGATAATATTTTGCCTAGTGTACTGTTTCAGAGTCAATGTTATATATTTCAAGATATGGAAAATTTAAGAATTAAAGACTTGTCATTTATCAACACCCCTTGCATAAATTGCTCTAGTACCTGATTTAAATGACTCCAGTGGCAGATCCAGTTACAGATCACATGCTAGCAAATATAAGTGTATGGAATTCTGAAAGTTGAGGTAAATTTTTGAATATATGCATGTTGTAAATTTCTACAATGTTCCTGTATCAATTGGTTTTATGCTTTCATACTTTTTATGCCTTATGAAAAACAAAACACATGATCATTGTACAGAGCAGAAAATCACTGAGTGTGGTGGCACACACAGGATTGCTGAAAGTTCAAGGACAGCATGGAGACCCTGTGTCGAGGAAGAGGAGGAAGCAAGAAGAGAAGTAGGAAGAACAAGAAAGAAATGAGGACAGTAGTAGAATGACTAGTTCTCAGTTTTTCTAGTTGTAAAGTTAGTATTTTTTAATAGCTATCACACCTAGAACAATTGCAGAGCCAAGTGACACAAAGCACATAATGAGGATACTTAATAAGGAAAGAAAAATATCAACTACTTGATACAGATCCACTCAAGGTAACTTTAGTTTAGAAATTAGGGTCCATTTTTTAATGATGGGGCTGGGGATTTAGCTCAGCGGCGTAAGCGCCTGCCTTGTAAGCAGGCAGTTGTGAGTTCGATCCCTGGTACCGATAAGAAGGAAAAAGACCAAAAAAAAAAAAAAAAAAAAAAAGAAAGAAAATGTAAATACATTTTTAATGATGTTACTTCTTGCTCATAGTCCAAGTATGTAATGTATGTGCTTGAGGCTAAAAGCAGTCTGCCTAAAGGAAAGCTTTCCAGTCTATCCACTATTATCTAGTGATTTATCTCCAGCTTCAACATTCTTTCAAGTTTGCTGTTGGGTGACTTACCTTTCTTCTACATCTGGTTTAGACACAAGTTTCTTCTTCATTTACGGTTTTTCAAAAATGAAATAAAGTGGGTTGTTTAAAAAATATTTCATGACATTAGCTCTACTGTCCTTTGTAGTTGAATGTAATCTAGTTAGCAATCTGGTTTGGTCCTGTATGTAGTATGTAGACTGGAACTTGATACACTCTCATCTCTTTTTCTTTATGAACCAGTCACCATGTTACATTTGATTACTGCTTTACAACTTGTAAACCTTAAGAAATGAGTTTTGAGGAAACTCCCAGGCAACGGCAGTCAACTATTACCTGGGAAGCTATAGATGCAGAATGATGGTGGCATTATATGGAAGCTCAGACTTGCTTCAAAATCTAGGTTACTGAAGTCTCGCAATTAAGTTCACATTTTCTTAATTCATAAGATGATAATACACAATTAAAATCTCTATACTAATCCCCAAACCAGTCAGTAATTTTTAGGCCTAACAGAAAACTTTGTGTTAAGGTGGTTGTTTTCTACTCTGTCACTTAAAATTTGAGCCCAATTTAATGCTTCAAAACTGAGAGTAATGATTGTATATGTTCATATTGTAATAGAAAATTTATTTGAATTTTTAAACTAGAAAGAGTGTTACAGAGCTTTGCCTTAAAAAAATGTACAACTGTATGGATAACAATAAAAACAAATTTAACATAAAGATCCCACTATTTTACTATCAAAACTAACACATTTAATTTGTTAAGAAATGAACTATTTTAGTTCATTAAAGTAGATTTCACAGCTTTTATGATGTGTTTGGCACTGATTCCAAACATATCCAGCAGTTCACCAGGGTTTCCCCTCCGAGGTACTTCTGTGACCGCCAACTGATGAACAGAGATGTCAGGCTCCCTGGAGACAGCCGCACACACAGCTTCTCCAATGCCACCTTCTCTGTAGTGATCTTCCACTGTGATAATCCGGCCACCAGTGGTTCTGGCATTGGAAATGATAGTGGCAGCATCCAGAGGTTTAATAGTAAATGGGTCAATGACACGAATAGAAATACCTTGTTGAGAAAGATCAGCAGCAGCTGCTAAGGCTTCATGTAGAGTAACTCCAGCTCCAATAACTGTGACCTTGTCATCGACGCTGTAGTGAACCACTTTGGCCTGTCCAATCTCAAAATTTTCTTCTGGAGGGTAAATAACTGCAGTTTCCAGCTGGCTGATACGAATGAAGCACATGCCCTTAGTATTGGCAGCCAGACAAACAGCATGCTCTGTTGAGACTGCATCACTTGGACAGAAAATCGTGCAATTGGGAGTGCTTCGGAACATGGCTAGATCCTCCAGGGCCATCTGAGCAGGTCCATCTTCACCAACAGACACCCCACAGTGAGAACCAACAAGGTTGATACTGGTTTGAGAGATGGCTCCCATTCGGATCTGACCAAATGCTCGGGTCAAAAAGGCAGCAAATGTACTAACAAAAACAATGGTTCTGTCCCGTGTGGCACAGCCCAGGGCCACACTTACCATATTTTGCTCAGCAATAAAACACTCGATGAAACGCTCAGGGTGATCTTTCTTAAATATCTCAGAAAAGGTGGTGTTCTTCGTGTCCCCATCCAGAGCAATAACTCTTTCACATGCGTGGCCCAATTTAGCCAGAGCTATTCCATATGCTTCCGTAGTAGCTATCTTCTCACCAACTTTGTAGGCAGGCAGAGAGGTCATTTTTATATGAGAGATGTTGATCTGAGGTGAATCTTCAATAGGGGGTTTCGGTGTGAGATTTCTGTTAGTCTGTATCTGACTCTCAATTAATTTGATAATTGCATCTGCTCTCTCCTTTGGCATTGGCTTTCCATGCCAATAGTCTGCATCCTCAATGTTTGGAATACCCCGACCCTTGAAGGTCTTAGCAATTATAGCGGTGGGTTTATTCTTCACATGAGCTGCTTGCCAAAATGCTTGGCACAAAGCCTCCACATCATGACCATCCACAATGTAAGCATTCCACCCAAAAGCTTCACAGCGATTCTTATAAATGTCTGTGCGGTGCTCAAGGGGCGCAGTGCCACTCTGTCCCAAGCGGTTCACATCAAAGATTGCCACGAGATTGTCCAAACCATAGTGGGCAGCAAAAGCCAAAGCCTCCCAGACAGAGCCTTCTGCGGCTTCGCCATCTCCCAGGAGGCAGAACACCCGGTAGCTGGCCTTGTCGAAGTACTTGCCGGTGTAGGCCATTCCGCACGCAGCTCCCAGGCCTTGCCCAAGGAACCCCATGGCCGCATCCACAAACGACAGTCGCGGGGTGGGGTATCCTTCTAGTTCGCAGTGAAACCTCCTCAGGCTCATTAAGTCACAGGGACAGATGTCGCACACTTCGGCCCATGTGGCGTAGAGCACTGGCGGGGCGTGGCCCTTGGACAGCACTAGTCTGTCGTTGTCAGGGTGCTCCGGGTCGCTCTGTTTATACCTCATGGCGTGGAAGAAGAGCACGGACATGATCTCAGCTGCACTGCAGCACGACGTAGGATGGCCAGAGCCGCAGGTGCTAGTAGCCCTGATGGAATGGATTCGCAGGCGATTGGCCGTGTCCCGCAGCACCTGCACGGTCTCCGCATGAGGCTGAGAGTCGTTAGCTGCGGCCATGGCGGCTCCCGGCAGTTTGGGCTCATCACGTGACCACAGCATGCGCGCTAAGCAAGGGACACGCCCCCTCCGCAAGGATGCGCATGCGCCCGCGCCCGGGTGGGGGAGGGTCCTTGCTGGTCTGTTGCAGGCGGTTTTACGCTGCCCCTCCCTCTGCCCAGTTGAATCTAATTTTTAGTGCTTACTTGCAAGCGCCGAATTATTCAAAATCATTTCTTTATACCTTTCTTCATGATATAAATTCAAAAGGGGACATCCTTATATACAGATATTAATGGAACGTATTTTTGATGTGGTAAATTTTTTGATACCTAAACTCTATATTTCAGGCATTTTTCCCTGTTTCTTGCTTGTTTGCTTTTTGTCTCTCTTGGTTGTTTCCTCCCTCTTTCCCTTTCTTTCTCCCTTCTTTCCTTGCTTTCTTCCTTTTATTCTTTGACAGGATCTCACTAGGCAGTCCATGTGGCTCTTGCACTCACCATCCTCCTGCCTCAGCCTCCCTAACGTCTGGATTACAGGCATGCACCACCACGCTCAGTTCATCTATTCTCTATGTGAAAGCGATATGCACAGAGCACCCAAAGTCAGTTTTAATCTAATCGGTATGGCAACACTCTCAAAAAGACTGCCTAAAGTTAGTAAAAATTCTAATGTGACTTATAGGAAAATACAATGACTACTTTGACCAAACTTTACAGAAGAAACAATCTAAAACCACCCACTGGAAGAATATACAGTGCTACAACTTTCACAGTGAATCCTGGTGAATTAGTATTGTGTTAAAATAATTAATAGGATCATTAGGGGGAGACAGCTCTAAATCTCAGGGTTGAGACATAAACAAACTGAAATCTAGCCCAGTGTGACCAGTACACACTAAGCCTGCTTTACCCTTCAAAAACTGTCAACTCACCTCTGATTAGGGACTTTTCCATTCCAATGATTCAGCTAAGGGCACTGCTCTACTTTTACAGATCGAGTTTGGTTTTTCTCCTTGTTTCTACATTGCACGATGACAATATGGTGTATTTCTCCCATGCTACAATTTTAAACATCTTGTTTTTTATCTTGATTTCACATTAAAATAGCGACAGTTTTCTTTCAGTGTCTGATTTCTACTCCAGACAATTTGAATTTCAATTTCTGGAACTAGAGTCAGGGAAGCTGTTTTTTTGTTTTGTTTTTATTTTTAAAGCTCGCATTGATTCTAATCAAGGTTAAAGTTAAGAATGGAGAGCTGGTGATATAGTGGCAGGCTCAGTGGCACAAAGCCTGAGAGAAACTTCAAAGTCCTAAGTTCATGTTCAGTACCAAAAATAAAAATGAAAAAGGAAGATTAAGAACAGATGATTTGGTTAAATCCAGGTTAGGAACAGATAGACTGGAGATGGACCAGTGGTTCTCAACATTGGTTGCACTTTAGAATCATCTGGGAAGCTTTTAAAAAATCTTATGTCCAGGTTATGCTGCAAACCAATTAAATTGGAATTTCTGGACCCAACAGCAGTAATTTTAAAAGTTCCCCAGACAATTTAAATCATTAGTAAGAGTTGTAAACAATTTACTTAGCAGATCTTACTACACTATTTATTGTCTCATTATATGTCAGAAGACTATTTTAGATATTTGCCATTTGAAGTAGATCTATCATTTTACTTTCAAGGAAACAACTGAGAATAAATAGTTATTGGCATGACACTAAGGATTGTAAAGTTTGTTGAAGGGATGTTGGAGTTGAATAAGTCCTTAAGAGATCATCTCATACCTGTCACTGACCATATTCCGTGCAAATTAACTTTTGCTTGTCTCTTTAGGCAAATAAAAGGAGAGAAAATACATGCTGACTAGATTAGATCTGGGAGTACAGAAGATGGACATTAGAGGAGAAAATATGACATCATAACAGCAAACTATGAGAGGCCGGCAGGAAAGCAACAAATAGAAACACAGGTACCTCACTATTATTTCAGCTGATGAAAGCACTCATACATATGAGTGCTAAGCATAATGGCTTAAAAATGAGCTATAAGGCAGTGTTTACATAAAAAATACTGGAAAAATAATAACTACTTAACATTTCTTTCCAAGTTCCCAAATTCTTTCATTCATTTAAAATATTACACAACTATTTTAAATATTTAAGTCTTTTCAAATACATTTCAAATTAAACAACTGATAAGTGTAAAAATACATAATTTGATCATTACAAAATTATCCATTGTGGCTTGGACACAATTTGATGAGATAATCGAACAGTTGATGCTATTTTTTACTTCCCCAATTTATGAAAAGATATGACCACAAAAGCCTAACCAAAAAATTTTAAGGTAGCATGCCGAAATGCTTGTATTAAACAAGTACATATTATTAATGTTGGAAGCCAGACAAAGGTTTTTGGCAAATAAGAAAAAAATTCATGTATTAATTTTGGTTTATTCACATGAAATAAAGGTCAGCAAGTTTGGACACCTACTGGCCTAGGGGTGCTGTTTATCATGAATGCGTGATTGTCAGGGAAAATAGACAGAGGCATCTGTGGCAGACTGGAGAATACAAGCCCACTAAAAGGCATTGCCAATTGAAAAATTGGCAAACATTTTGTTGGACAAACAAAACATGACTTCAGCCTGCCTATTTTGACTCCTGATTTAAGGTCTGTTTAAAAAACAACGAAAGATACATTGGTCAGCTTTCCCTCACTGTGACAAAATAAATAGAAACAACACTTTAAGGTAGGAAAGCTTTATTTTGGGTTATGCTTTCAGAGATTCAGCGCATGGTCTGCTGACTCCATTATTTAGCACCTGTGATTAGGTAAAAGATCATGGAAGTAGAAGCAACTGGTGGAGGAGGCAGAGGCAAAACCAGAAAGGAGCCAGGGACAAAGCCCTCAAAGCCACACTCCAGTGACCTGCCTCATCCAATTATCCAATTATCTCATGAAATTGTGTCCAGCCTGCCAAGAGCCCATCTAATTGTGAGCTTCATGCATTGATGAGGTTGGACGCCTCATAATCCATTCACCTTGCCAAAGCCTATTAGCTTGCATCCAAGCTTTGAAAACAATAAGCCTTTTGGAGGGACTATTTAAATAATAGTTATAGTTTTGATCTAAAATACTTTCCCAGAGACTCATGTAATCAGTGGCCATGCTTTTGAAGATGGTTGGATCACAGGATAAGATATCCATCATGCATTCATTCACTGGTGAATTCCTGATTTTTGTGCTGTTAGGAGATGCAGCCTGGTTAGAGGGGGGTCAGTGGGGTGCACATCAGAATGGTGCATTCATTGTTGTTTCTAGCTCTTCTCTCTCTTTTTCCTCACAACCATGAGTAGAGCAGCTTTCCTCCTCCATGACCTCCGTCATGTAGTTTCTGACTTGAAAACAATAGACTGAAATCAGTAAATCCATGAGCCACAATAAGCCTGCTTTTCTTTGTCATGGGTGCCAGGTATTATGCCTCAGCAGACTGAAAGGGACTAATACATCCTCCATAGCAGACAATGCCTTTGTTTTAACTTTTGTTTTTTGGATGGAGTATCATTTAATACTGCAGACTGAATTCAGAGCCTTCACACTAAGCGGAATCTCCAGACTTTTATCTTTATTTATTTATTTTAATTTTGAGACTTGTGTCTTGCTAAGTTTCTAAGTTTTTCAGGCTGGGTTTGAACTAGCAATTCTCCTGCCTCAGCCTCTCATTTAGACTTTAGCCACCATGTCCAGATTTTTATAGGCATTTTTACTGCAAGTATTTTCTCATGCTATGCAGAAATGCTTATTATATTATGTACTTTCAATGAAAATAAAAGCTAACGGAACCACTAATAGAAACAGCTACAGAGGAAAAAATGTAAAAACCAGAAATTGCTAAGTGCAGTTTGTACTGGGCTGCAGTAGAAAAAACAGAGCACACAATTACTGACTACCCAGGTGGTCCACCCAGTCTGTGAAAACACACGTTTTCGTTGCGTGAGAGTGAGAAATATTTAGAGGTTGGGAACATTGAGTTTTTACTTTTATCTAAACTGTTGAATTTTGTTAAAAATGGGAGCGTTGTAAAAGACACAAGTGATGAATTCTTATTTTTCGTCTGTTCTTTGAATTTGCTTGCCTGAATTGGCAGAGCGTGGAGCAAGCAGAGAGAAGATGCTTGGAAGAGTTCTGGGGGCCAGGAGGGTGTGCTTTTCCTCTGCAGATTCTCACTTTGAAAATTATGGCAGATGTCATTATCAGTCCCATTTTTTCTACTGATTATAAATCCTATTGGGGGGGGGAACAGAAGGAAGTAGGGGAAACATAACAACATACTTAAAAAACAGGCCTATCTTCCAATACCAGGGCATAAACATGACTTACCTAAGACCATCATCAACACACCTTTCTCTTTACTAGTAATAGGAGACAGCATATGACCAGGTGATGGTCAATAAGACATATGCAGAGATCTGCCTTGAGAGTAAGTTCTACGAAAAATCTCCTTCCTGGTAAATAGGAGTGAGCACAACAAGAACTGTGATGTTTCCCTTCCATCTCCTGTGCTACCCACCCCCCGCCACCTGCAACCCCGGAGAATGGGATGTTAGAGCCTCAGAAGCTCTTTCATTAATGCAGCGAGCTTAAGGAGGACAGTGAACACGCTTAGTATGATGGAGTTGTCCCTGTGATTTATATAGCAATATGCAACGAGTTTGTCCATCTGAAACTGGAAGCATCCTAACAGAACCAAACCTCTTAAGCTTATACAACTCCATTAATCAGGGGAACAACAGTAAACAGGCTCAGCATCGAGGAGAAGGGGCACAAGGGAATATAATTTGTTTAGCATTTTTATTCTTGATGCCTGGTACAAGTTTCACTTTTTCTGTTATATTATCATTGTTGTTATGTGAACCATCTGTTGGACAACTAAAACTTTTCAGTTTGGCACGTGGACATCATGTATAGGAGCGACTCCATACTTGATCATATGCACCTGCTGTTTGGCATGGTTGGTTGA